GATAAACGGATGACGGATTTAATCGAATCGGATAAAACGGATGGCGGATATCCGCGGATTGGAACACTACGCCACGCGCTTTTAAACCACTAAAAAAATAAATGTCCTATACTGTATTTGGAAAAGAAAGGCTTGCGTAGTAAGCTTTTCACTAAAGATCTCTTCGAAGAGATAAGAGCTTCCACAGAGCATAAAAATGCAAAAACTCACTTTAAGGTTCAGTGCCTTAGCTGTCTGTAGGTTTCCATGTATTTTTAAAAATATAAGAAATTAAATCTTAACCATGGATTTATTATTAAATTTCATGTTTCTTTTTGTAAAGTAAAACTTAAATTTTTTTTAAACAATTCTTTTTCTGATTCCAATACAACTAAACTTTGGTATCATCTAGAATAACATAATCATCTTGGACGAATTTGTGGGTCAGGTAAAGATTCTATCCAAGATAAATGTCATTTAAACAATTATACATAAAGTCAAAAATGCGTTATAATAATATTTATATTTTTTATATTTAAGTTTACACAGAAAATGAAAATTCGAGGTTAATCTGAATCGAGTCTCGGGTTACGCAAATACTAACCCGGGTATTTTTATAAATTAATCTGTATATCCAAAGAGTATAGTTAAAACCTGATCGATTTTACTCATTCGGAGCATTCCATAGAGGTTGTGCAATTCTGCCACTCACCATATGGTAAAATTTTCTGATTTTGATATACCAATTTTATTTTTTTTTATTGCAAAATAGGTTAATGCAATCAGTGCTTGGCAAATAATTTGGAATGTCAAAGGATTCAAATGATAAATTATTTGTCATTTGATTAATATTAAAATTAAAAAAATTTTAGAGGCGGTATAAGATTTATATGTCATGTGCTTATAGATCATGTAATTTTTTTTTTATATTTATTCAATTTCGTAAAATGAAATAAAATTTTTAAAGAAATAAAATTAAATATAATTATCATTAATAGATAAAAAATTTTTTCTCTCTAATGATTCTTAATCATAATAATAGGGTGAAAATTAAATTGATAAAGTTTCATTAAGAAAAAATTAAGAAATGCTTAACTCAACGCCCTCAAATTATTGAGCATTTTCAGTATAAAAAATTTGCATCAAAAAGTTTAATTTGTATAACTAATTCTTGCTGTATATGGTGTTCTTAATTTCACTATACTCAAGTCACAACTTTATTTTAATGCATTTTTAAAATAATAATTCTAACCAAAAATTTTAATGGTTTGGAATTTTCTT